GTGCGATCACTTGCCCTCTGGTGGAGGCCAAATGCGATGCTTCAAACCAACCCCCCACTTCGACATTGAATTCCTTCTCTGAATCCTCACAAAAACCAGGAGTGGGGATCCGTCTGATTGCCGAAGGCCCGTCTTATCACCTTCAATGAGACCACCTTCCTTACAAATTAACTCACCAAACAGAAAGGACAACCAGCAGTGAGCGATTACGCAAAATGGCGATTCTGTCCAGGTATCTTGAACAGCCCACCAAGCACTTTCTCCCCCACCAATTGGAATTCGTTTGCCTTCCACCGTTTGAAGAGTGGAATTGTGCAAAATCGAAGCATACTTAGCTAGCTAGCTAGCCAATAGGGTCCGACGATTTATCGATGACTACAGGAGCAAGTCGAACACACGTCGGCTAACTTTCGTCTGTGTGCAGCACCAGACAGCTTCCATCGAATTAGGGGACTGCTAATGAGGAATACGTCTTCGACCAGGCGGCACACGGAAGCAATGCAAATAAATTAGCCACCTGTCAGACACTTATTTTCTGATTAGAGTTAGCAAATACATAATAACCCATCCCGGGCCAGTCAAGTGACCAATCAGCCCTAGTCTTTCGGATTTCCGACACATCTTCTCAAGACTGTGCCCACACGAGTTAGGTTTAAACCACCAGCAACTCACTTTGGTGGAGAAGTTGCTATCATGGTCGCTGGTGTTGTCGTTCCACTCCTCCTCATCTTCCTGCTGATTGGCCCAGTAGTTGACGGGCTTCCTGTGGCGCTTGCCTTTGCCCAAATTCTTGGCCTGGTCCTCCTGTTGCTGCTCAAAGTGGTGTCGCAGGAGTTTCTCCCAGTAGGCTGGGTCGTTGGTGTCTAGCTCCTGCTTGATCACCTGCAGCGAAACACAAGAAAAGATTAGGGCAGGTTCGGAAGTCTGGATGATTTTGGAATAGCTTCGTGTTGGCCACACATCCATCGCGAACGAACTTACCTCGACATTGGAGTCCTCCTCCTCCGGTTCTTCCTCGACACCGTCCTGGATCTCGCGCTTTTCGTAGTGGGCGACCTTGAAGGAGCTGAGGTAGTCGTTCATCTCCATCTGCTTCTCCTCCATGCCCTGTTGACTGCGGTCAAGAAGGCGATCCAACGCGGCGTCGTCGTACACGATGCAGTGCTCGTCAGTGGCTACAGGAGGAAGGCAACGAAAAAAGGAGGAGCGGGTTTGTGCGCGAAGCAAGACGAATGAAGCAGCAGACCTAGATGCAAGAGCGACTGACTCACCATCGTTGTCCTCGTGTTTGAAGAGATCCTCGGTGCCGAACTTGAGGATGTCGTCGAGCTCCTTCTTGGACATCTGACTGGCCCCCTTCCCGCCCAGACCGGGGCGCACGACCAGGTGGGTCAGCATCATCTTCTTCTTGGCCACTTGAGTCACGCGCTCCTCGACTGTGGCGCGTGTCACGAACCGGTAGATCATCACCTGAGGGGAAAAGGGGTGGCAGTGGATGATTATCCTCAAATTACCCCTCCAAGGCCTTGACTCACGCTGTCATATATCTGAGCTATAAATGCACACGCACCAACGCCAAACACACGACAACAACCAGGTCGAGCTCTGTGGTAAACGCTTGTCGCATCTTTGCGGGGATCAGGGTAGCGTAGCCGAGGTAAATTTAACGCAGTGGTCACGGCGTGGTTTGGGATCACAGCCTGGGGCCCACGACAGTGCCAGCATTGCCGACTTAACGCTCAACTCGCCTTACTTCCAACGTCAACACATGCCCTCTGGGCAATACCCAACACATCAGCTCCCACGCATGCAATTTGCGTCCTGCTTAGTGCCAAAGAAGGCCGTGATCAATGTACTATTCTCGAGCACCGCCACACGCGCTTCCCTGAACCTGCTGTCACCGGTACTGGTAGAAGTTTTTATTCTTCATGTAAACCAGCGACGACCTGCCTGACTCTCCATGTCACGATACAACTGACCTCGATTTTGGCATGTCGAGGTGCTTGGGTGCACCATTTATGTTGACAAACGAGAACCATTTTGGATCCATAAATAGCTTCCGAACGACACAGTTGAACACTGCAGATAGTTGAAGTGACCGTTTGATTCCTATTTAACACGTCGACATAGATTACATCTTTGATACGCCACCGTACATACGATTTGACCTTTTTTTCAATTGCTTTTCCTTCTTGATTGGTCGGAAATGACAGGCGGTTGACATTACGGTAGAAGATGGTTGTAACGGCAGTGATCGTCAACAAGCAGCACGCTGCCGCCGATTCTCTGGAGGCAGTTCGCATTTGGTCTATTTCCCAATCACTGAAACCTTTCCAGTCCTTTACAATCGATGTTCAACGAATGTGCTGGAATTGCCGTTGATCGCAGGTTCCAAAACGTCAAAAACCAAGCCTTTTGACCAGTCTTTTCTACTAAAATGCCATTTCGGAAACGAGGAAGCCACCCACAACTTTCATTTGCCACAGCATCATCATTATAATCCTTTCGGAAATATTTGGCTGCATTCCTGCATTTTTAACATGAGCTTTGAGTGAAAAATTGATATTACTTATGACCTAATTTGATATTAATTTCTGGACATACGCATAGCACCGACGGACAATCGGCGTAAGCTTACTTTATTCGCCTGACCAATGCGGTGTGCTCTTGAAAAGGCCTGTATATCGTTGTGCGGATTCCAGTCCGAGTCGTAGATGATGACAGTGTCCGCAGTGGCCAAGTTGATGCCCAAGCCACCAGCGCGAGTTGACAGCAGGAACACGAAGGAGGTCGAGTCGAGGGCGTTGAAGCGATCGATCGCGTCCTGCCTCTGCTGGCCAGTCACGTTGCCGTCGATGCGCTCGAACTTGTAGCCCTCGGCCTCCAGGAAGTCCTCAAGGAGATCGAGCATCTTGGTCATTTGGGAGAAGATGAGCACGCGATGTCCGCCCGCCTTGAGCTTCTTCAGCATGGCAGACAGAAGCTCGAGTTTGCCGCAGGCCTTCCGGAGCGCTGTGCCCTCGAAGGCGCCGTTCGGGAGACGTGGCGCGTCCTCGGCCGCCGAGGGGAAGAGGTAGGGGTGATTACAGCACTTCTTTAGGTCCATCATCACGTTGATCAGGGAGGGCTGCGTGCCGCCACCTCGACAACTCAGGGCGTCAAAGTTCTTCGTCAGTATAAACTTGTAGAACTTCCTAAAACCACAGAGGACGCAGGCTTTGACAACTTCCAAACACACACACACACACACGATATGTGTAAACGAGTGGTACACAAGACCGACATACTTCTGCATCGGACTCAGTTCCACGCGGACAATGAATTCGCCCTTAGAAGGCATGTTTTTGAGTACGTCTGCCTTCAGCCGTCGGAGGAGATGCTTGCCGAGCATCTCATGAAGTTTCTTCACCTGGTCCTCCTTTGAGATGTCAGCAAACTCATCGAGGAAGCCTTGCATGTCGTAGAACTTGGAGGGTGACATGAAATGCAACAGGTGGAAGAGCTCCTCCAGGTTATTTTGCAGCGGCGTGCCTGTGAGCAGCAGTTTGTACGCGATCTTGTAGGTGGTGAGCATCCTAAAGAACTTGGATTGGTTGTTCTTCAGGCGATGGGCCTCGTCTACCACGAGGACCTCCCAGTCGATGGAGGAGAGAAGAGCCTGATCGATGGAGATGAGCTCGTAGGAGGTGAGGAGAACGTGGAAACGGACCTGGGCGCCAGAACGCATCTTCACCACCCGAGTGCCACCGCGAACTCCGCCCTCGTCGAAAGTGAACTCGTGCTCACGGATGACGGTGCGCGAGTCTTTGTCACCTACGTACGTCACAACGTAGAAATCCGGCGCCCAAAACTCGAATTCACGCTCCCAGTTGATGATGGTTGAGAGCGGCGCTGCTACCAGAAACGGGCCGCGGCTGTGACCCTGGAAAAACGGGGGGGCGAGGAAGATGGTGAACCAGGGGTGGGTGAAGGATGTGAATGCGGAAATCACACTATCAATACCTAATCTCACTGATCTACACGCTGTTCCTGTGATATCACACGGTGTGTCTATGACCAGGACGGGGTTTTACAATCCAAATAAGTTAAAGGTGACAAAACGCCATCAATTTCTACCAATTTCAACAAATCATCTAGCAGTGGTGTTGGAACAACTTGTAAACATCTGACAGTTGAATATCCTCTTGTTTGGGGAACGAAATGACGCGTTTTAGAGACGAATGTGAGATGGACTGAGAAGCAGATCTCCTAAAACAGCAGGAAGCGATCAGAAGTGAAGTATTGAAACACGTATCGACACACCAAGGCTGCATTTAGTAACGTAGATGGGCCAACATGGCATTTGCAGGCATCGCGTCCTCCATTGAAGGCGACTAACACCAAATGAGAATTTTGCGAAGAGCTCACTACGCTGACACACTAAGTCACCTTGTCGAGTTGTGTCGAATGCCAGTGAATTTGACCCAGATGCACGGAATAGCCGCTAATTAAAACATGACGTTCGAATTACACAAAATTCTGTTTATCATCACCAGGTAAAATCGGGCATCCACAGGTAACGGCAGCAACAAATCGAACTGCATAGGTCTGAAAGGGGTAAACTAGGAGACGTGGAAAATGCTCAAAAATGGTGAAAACCTGGCGCCTAGTCGCCCCCCTTTCATTGTGTGCAGTCTTAAAAGTTAGCTCGCTGGTCTGCGTGTAAGCAAACACCACAATGGTCGATTGTGATGGCAACGGTAGGAGTCGTGTCACTAATTCGACGCGAGCGGTGTCAAATCTAGGGTAGCAGTAGTGATAGCTCAGTTCGGAAGCGATTACGCTGCGAGCTTAAGCAGTAAAGGAGTGAAACCACATTGAGTTTTAGCTGCGTAACACCAAAAGCACCAATCGAGGAGAAGGGTACTTACGTCCTTGTAGAGGGAGTAGAGGAATGCAATTGTCTGAATGGTCTTCCCAAGGCCCATTTCATCAGCCAGGATCGTGTCCACCTTGTTGCCGTAGGAGAAGCGCAACCAATTCAGGCCCTCCAGCTGATAGGGGTGCAGTTCGCCGCCCGTCTCGTCCATGTACTCTGGCTGTTTGGTCAGCTGCTTCCGCAGGTCGCTGATGGGCTTCTCGGGGGGGATCTTCTTCAACAGATTGGCACTGAACGTGGAGGCGCTGCCACTGGAGCCGCCAGAACCGCCCTTCTTTGAGGACTTCTTCTTGATTGACTCGCCCTTGAAGAGACCACGCATGAGCTTGTACTCCTCGACGAAGCGCTCGAAATCGGGCACCTCGGTGGTTGAGATGTCCTCCCACGTGCAGTCGTCGTAGGGCAAGTCGCGCCACTTAACCAAGTACCACTCCTTCCCTCGGCACAAACGGCTATCGACGATGCGTTGCGGCTGGAGCCATTCAGGACGCACCCCCCACTTGTAGAAGCGCTCCTCCAGGTTCTGGGGGTCGGGGGCTTTTTCGCGAGCACGACCTCTGTTAGGGGTAAAGAGAGAACGCGAATCAATAGAGGTTCGACAGACGTCGATGGTAAGTGTTGTGGAAAACGGTGAACAAGATGGATCTGGATAATGGGGAGTTTGCAGTCGCATACAACGCTCCTTTAGAGATACTTCGGCGAAGCCAGAATGGATTCGGAAGGCATGATTTCCATGAGCACCGCCACCTCCACCACCACTTTTGACGCGGCGTTGAATACACGAGCGCTGGGCTGACTCACCCCCCCCCCACCTCCGCCTCCACCGCGGATTGTGGGAACGCACGTGCGCACGCGCACATACGTGCGAGTGCGCGCAAGTTGTCGTATCAACGGGTCGATAACCGCCGCCGCCGACGTCATCGTCGTCTTTACGTACACATGAATGCGCGTGGGTGTGTGTGTGCGTGATGGTTCCACTATCGCCACGCGACGGGTAGCAAGGCGATTCCGAGTGGTCGTGGTACGCGACCTCCGAGTTCATGTTAGCACGATCGATAAGGCGAAGCGATGCAACTCTGCCGGGCACACTCCAGCCGACCAAGATGAACATCTTCACGAAACCAGTGCATTAGAGATTGTACTAATTCCAAAATCTCGCGAAAATCACTTCCAAGACCATTAATACGATAAATTTATGCTAAAATAGACACCCAAGTTCACCCCCCGTGGCCTACCTGTAAGAGCTGCCATCTTCAGGAGGCGGAGGCTCCTCCATGTCGTATTTTTTCGAAAAAACGCGCAACATCAGGGAATGGAACACTTCCAGTTGGAGTTCTGTGATCCACTCGCACGCCCAGTACGACATGTCGTGGAACTTGACGAAGAATTCACGAGTGGGTTTCCTTCGGGCAGGCGGGTGGGCAGTGGCGACGTTGGCGGGGGGTTGTCTGGCGTCGCCGCCCGCCTGCAAGTCGATGGTCAGCGGAGCGTTCGAGTCCTCGCCCTCGTCGCCAGTGGCGTCGCCCTCGATGGCGCGCTTCGGAGGTTCACGCCATCGCCAGAAGAGGATCTTGGAGACCCGACCCTTGAGCGGTTTGCACCCACATCGAGGACACAGCCAGACACCCTCGGGGATTTGGGCGAGTGGGGGGTCGAGACAGCCGATGTGGTAGCTGGCTGGACAGTTTTCACAGCATATGAGGTCGCCGCCGTCGCGGCATTCTGAGCAAAATTCCTGATGCTCGTCTTTCTCGCCTTCCTCGTCCACGGTGGCCGCGGCGACGGCTTTGCGGGAAATGTGGACGGGACCCTCGCTGGCAGTGGAACCCCCTTCATCCGCTTCGGCAGCCTGACGCGCGACCAGCACTTCGGCGGCGTTGATGCCTTGCTTCTCACAATGCGGACACGACCAGACACCTTCAGGAGCCTCTTCAAGCTCTGGGTCCAGGCAGACAAGATGGTAGGCGCGGGGACATGTGTCACAGAGCATGATTTCGCCGCCCTTAAAGTAAAGTAAAGCACACAACATAACCAACATGCACAATTTGGACTCGTTGTCAAATGAATCAAAAGAACTACGGCAATATTGGGGAATAGAACCAGGATTCTAAGTGCATTGCTTTTAGACCTTCAAGTGAGCGGAGTTTCGACAACAGCCTGTCGACTCCACACTCACCTTCCAACGAAGTGCACCTCATGGAGGAATAAAGCGATCTGCTCGACGACTAACCTGTTGACAGACATCGCAGTAGTCCTGGTGATCTGTCTCGTAGCCGTCCTCGGCCTGCCTGTTGCCGCCCATCAGCGGTACCCGAGCGATGAGGCTGCGTTTCACGGCGCCGCCGAGGTTCGGCGCAGAGACGCTCAAGTGCAGCTGGGCGGAGGCGGAGGAGCGCCCGATGACCGATTTCTTGGCGGTGCTGCTGCGCTGTTTCCGGCGCTTCTGCTCCTCCTCCTGAATCGCCTCCGCCTCCTCCAACTGACGCTCAAACTCCTCGTCGCTGGTGTTATCCCCACCGCCACCACCGCTTCTGCCGCCCTGGCAAGGCAAGGAGAGCCAGTCACGATGTGTCTGCGCCATCACTACGAAGTGGCACGTGCTCGTGCCCACAATGACTGTCTTCAGACTAACACGAACCCAGGTATTACTGGGACACCGTACACCGACTCAGTTTAGCACGTTACAAACAGGAAAAGGGACCAATTAGCAACGGTCTATTCTAATTTCCGTGCCAGAAAACCGAATAAGTAAACAAAACTAGGAATTTGATAGACGAGGTGCCTTGGATTTTCAGAAAAGTGACTTATTTGCCCAAGTCTAAGAATTTTGACGGATGCAAGTGGTTCATGAATGACCAAAAGTATCCAGAAGGCGAATGACTACTCGTCTTACGTATCCACTGCAACTAATGGGTCATTAAATTCAATAGCCATTGGTTCACTAATAAAGGGACTTACTTCACCACGCCTGCCACCGCCTCTTGACCCAGCAGGTTTTCGTTTTTTCTTCTTGCTGATTTTGATCTTTAGCGGAGCTTGAGATGACGCCGGGGTGGCCGCGGACGAAGCGGGCGACGACTGGCTGATCTCCTCGCTGTCGCCGGGCACGTCCATTGCAGAGGCCGCCAGCGCGGCAGCGGCTCTCAGTTGCCTTGACGACGCGCGACGCGGCAACGAGGGCGCAGTGCTCTCGGCGACAGTGGGTGCGGCACTTTCGCCGTCATCGGGATCGTCATCTAGACTGAAGGTGGGGCCGTCACCGGACGTGGTTGGAGCACCACTTTCTTCTTCGTCGTCTGGAAGATCTATGCAGGCAAAGCACTACGGAGTGACAAACAGCCATCGACAGGTAAAACAGGCAACTGCTAAACTAAACGCAAGAGGTCGTCTTAGCACCGAGAGCACGAGTGAACTTCAGCTAAGAGCAGATGCGAAACAAACAGCCACGAGTCAGGGCAACGGCGGTTTGAGTGACAAGGGGACATTCGCCAGTCATCCTGTTGGTCAGGGTATGGATTAACGTTAAACACAGAACAAGAATTGCATCGGCATAATGAAGTACGGTGGAGCGCAAAACGCAAGTTAGGGGAAACATTTGAGTGAAGCCAAAACAATCAAAGAGTTATGTTGAGTTAACCGGGGAGGGATGGATGGAAGAAGGATAATGCTGACCTTTTTTGACTACACCTGGCGCTGGAAAATTCAAATTTCCTGTAAAATAATTGATGCGAAATTAGGTGGAAGAGGCAAATACAAGCGGTATGCACGGCAGACTTACCTTCCTCGCCTTTAGGGATGTACGGATTCATTATCGCGAACTCCTTCCACTTGGCGTCCAAAATTTGCATGATATGTTCCTTTAAGGCAGACGGATTCTTCTCAACTATCAGCGGCTGCACGTACTGGTTGAACAGTTTCTGAACGGTCCAATTCTCAAAGTCGTCAGTTGAGTAGGTAATTTCTACATCCTCAACGCCAAGCTCTTCACAAAGTTGTTCAAGCGTCTTTTCCTAAATACAAGACTGTGTCGACAAACAGGAAAGGTTACCTTAGTTACGCGGGGAGCACGACGCTTAGTAGTGCTGGTCGAGGATTCGTCACCGGCATCAGCCTAAATTTCAGTTTAGGTCGAGTACAAAGTGCACGCTTACATGTCGCCGGCGCATTTTGTTCCGCCGACGTTGGGCTTCGGAGCTCAGGGGACGAGATCGTCGCTTTTTCGGCTTACGGTCGGCAGAGGCCGGTACGTTTTCTACAAGTCAGAGAGACAATGTTGGAACGACTGGTAATGTTTTTGCAGGTTATTCTGCTTCGCAGACGTGCTTTATTCCCCCCCAACAATGTAATCGCACACATGGAGTAGCAGTGACCGCCTCAACTATAGATTCCACCCTTATCAGCTAAGGCTAGCTAGAAATTGCGTTTTTCAACCGTCAACATAGTGAAGGTTTACCGCCAAACATTGAATCAATTCTAGGTCAAAACAAAGACAAACGCCACCCACCACTGGTTGAACAGGAACAATCATCGGCAAATACGACTTGCAGACTAAAGCGAGGCTAATGGAAAATTACAAGCTCAGTCCATCAAAGTCTAAATAAGGGTATCGTCGCGTTAACGAGGAAGACGCAAAATTTGATTAGGTAAAGGTTTTCTTCAAACTAGCTTTACAGACGGTATGGATAATGGCAAGAGAACGTGACCACACACAACAACGACTAAGACATCACTTCGCTGATGCTTATTGCCCATCGAAATCCGACGCGACGACTTGCAATCTATAGATTGAGGATTTCACACAGCTAGTTTCGAAAAAACGGACGTAAAACAGTAATCCATAATTTTACAGAAACCAATTTGTCTGCAATGACCACAAATCACGAAGCTTTACAGCTGCGTTAAAATCTTCAAAGTACTCGAATTGAATTCTGAGTTCTACAACTTTAGACGACACCGAATGGTACCTCAGGATTTAGTTAAAGCACGTCAGACATCATTCAAAACTGGGGAAACACCAGCAACAATAAAGTTTGACACGCAAAAATTATATGGTGTTTGCAACGCTATGCATGAGACTAAGGTTTGCAGCAATAAAACGACCAGGGAGATGAACACGGAAACCCCACTATCCCATAACATGCACAATCTAAAAAGTTTGCAAAACATACGGAAAAAAAATGTAGTAACGCAGCAGCTATTCCCAACACATCTTCAGCTTAAAAAGAGGCACTCGAGGCTTCTTTGGTTTATTAAGTCAACATTCCACATTCTTGTGTTAAATCGAAGTCGTTGGCACACCCGATGCAAAAAGATCCCACATAAGCACTAATACGTATAACCATCACAAAGATTAAATGTGTTTAAGCATTCCAAAGATTGTGTCACTACCCCACAGCTCACCGCACCATCAAGTCCAACACTGGATCGACCAAATTTGGAAATTTCAAGCGAAGCCGAAAACTAACCAGAGCCTACATACCACGTGCGAAGAACTATACTTTAATGCCATCGTTTTGTTAGGAACAAAACCATAAATAAATTACGAGAAAACGGGTTCACTCACCACCATCCATTTTTAGTGGGCCTCCACAAACACTGACCGATTAAAACAAAGGATCCTATAGCCAATTTAGCCCTGAATATGAAAGTGCCAAGGTTGAAACTTGCTATGTCAGATTATTGTGTGTTATTTGCTGTATATTATTGCACTAACGCACTGATGCAAAATATTCGAATTTTATAAGCCTATCCCTTTTTTGTAGTAAAGAAGACAATGAATTTTGATTTAAAGGACCTTACGATTTCAAAATGTCACGGTTTTAGAAACACAAACAAGTAATTTCTGCAAATTAATTGCATGTACATATATAAATCAAGGTTTATTTTGTTCAACATTTTGCATTTTTGAATCAAGTGGGATTAATGCCATTGATTATTTGGATTTGTGCCATCTTTGCAATTGATGAAATATATCTATACACAGGCGAAATAATTCGAAGCACGCCCATGTCTGTCGCTTTTACATGTCTTAACAAATCCTGAATTTATTATAATCTGTTAATCAGAAACATCTTTCATGATATGCTTTTTTTAATCAATATCTCTGCAATGCCCTAGGATTTTAAGATATTTCCTATTTTTCATTCCGACGCAACTAAATAATCATGTATAAATTGTTCAAATGATACACGATATAAAAGACGCTGTCGTCGTTTTTTGATGCTAAACATCTATAAAAATGTTAACCATAAGATCAAAATAACTACGTTATTTTAACGAAAGTTGCGAAATTAATTGATGTCTGATATTCAAATCGCTAGCGGATGTTGCATTTAATTAATAGATATTGATGAAATTTTTTCCGATGATTAATATTTAGCGCCTGCCTTTTTCACACGTGATTTATTCATGCATTACTCATGATATGGCATAGTGAGTAACCAGCCGATCTATAAATACCAGTTCTTAACGTTTCATCTCTTGAGAGGTCCATTAACCACACTTTGGACAGTCGATATCGGCAACTAAAATATTTGGGCATTTCATTAAAAGCATCCACAAAATTTGCTGGAAATTTCTTAACATAACTTTTGATACAAACATATGCTAACTAACCTAAATGGTCTGCTGAAAGCAACGATATTTGGTTGCTTTGAAATAAAATCAGCTTGATGTAAGCTTGCAAGTCGAGGCCAATTATTGTGGGGAATCGTATTCAAAGGTTAGCACAAATCTACCTAATGGTATGCGTTGCACAAAAGTAACTACTTATGGTCAAATCACAATATTGCTTTGGAACTTTGGTTACTTACATCCAAACGCGAGATGAAAAAAAAATAGAATTGACCAAACAATTCTACTCAAACGCGTCGTCCCGAAGACATACTTTGCCTACAAACTCCTCCACAAGTTCTTTCTTATCTTGCCATCCATATGAAGAATTAGAGTGACATGACTCGCTTCTTGATGGTCAAATTTACAAAATCACAAGGTAAATTGCTGCCACTATTTAGGTCCGGTTAAAATCTCTGTTTTAGGAATGCAACTTGGCTTTCGTTGATTTGCAAAAATCCAAGACTCTTTCAAAGATAAATTAAACAAATACCCTATTGATAGGTTCCTAAACTCCTTTGACTAAATTCGTATTGCTTGAAAATGCCTAAATTCATTCATACAATGTAAAACATAGCGAAGGCTTGCATTACACTCGCCATTATGTCGATTTCAAAGCAGTTTGACATGTGTGCCCTCAGACATTCCAATTTCGCTGAACACTTCACACCCGTGCTACTGATAAAGTTTCTCTCTTGTGAGGCTCTGAATTTTGTGCTTAAACGCCTGGCTTTGGCCAATCAGCTGTCCATTCTCGAGTTTCCTTGACAAATAGGTCTTTCCCAAAATTGATCGACAGAGCCTGAAGTATCCCATTAATCGCCAACAAGAACAGGTGGCCTTTGGCTAACACAGTGGGAGACGGTTTCGACTTTACCAAAAATGACATGAGGTGATGACGTTCAGCGCATCGAAGGACGCCACACTTTCAAAAATCAAAGCCGGGTGCTGCGTTGATGTCTTCCATAAAACGGTCAGCCGAGACAAAATACCAGTGGTGGACCCTCAGCGGACATCTTTGTGTTAAAGTTTATCTGGGGGACAGGTTTATCTCAATACGATTGGTTACTGTCACAAACTCTGACCCCTGTCCACGCACGCATATAAACCGGACGAACTTGCTGAGTTTTGCTGATTAAAGCATCTAGATATGTACATTCAGATTTTCCGCAAATGCAGTCAGCCGCGCCAACTGCTCGGCAACAGAGGCGAGATGGGGGGCGAAGAGTTTGATGCAAGGGGCCGCAGCCAGGGTTGTGTGGACAAAGGCCTCCGAGAAGCGTTCCAGACGTTCAAGGGTGACGGCTCCGCTGCCGTCCTCACCCCTCGGCAGTTTGTCCTGCAACACGAAAATCACGCTGGCAAGGTAGCCAAGAAACGCACAGGACAGGCTGCAGTAAAAAAGGCGGCGTCGCATCCAGTCGGTCGTCTGGAGCCACTCCATCAACCGCAGGCCCGCTTCCAACACTAGATCCAGCTCTTCGCCTGAAAGGAACAAAGAGACGGGCGGGAGTGAGCTACGATTTTACACCTCACCTTCAACATTTATTTATGCCAGGTAAATTACCCTTCAAGTTGTCTTCGTTCAGTTGGTAGGTGGTCACAATGACACGGCAGAGTCTAGCAAAAGGCATGTTCTGTTTGTGTTGGTAAATTAAGCGGAGATAGGCATTGTCGGGGGCTGTGGAGCATGCCTTGTAAAGGTTAACAGCGTCTGGTAGAACAAAGGTTCAAACAGGAGAAGGTAAGTGGTACTGCAACCCTAAGCTTAGACACGATTTTGTTTGAGAAGATACTAGAAGACCACAGGCACCCAACGAGAGGGCTTCATTAGACTGGGCAAGATGGAAGAGACGTGGAAGGTATTGGACATACCTTTCAAGACGTGGATCTCAGAAGTACGCTGCTCAAAGGCATCAAAAATGGCTGAGTTGTAGGCTTTGTGGCACTCGTCACAGATTAAGACTTCTTCAGGTGCAACCGTTGTGTACTTGGCGAGGCTAGATGCAAGTAGCGCCTCATCTGTAGGCCATGCAACCATTCGATTGTCAGATAAATCAGACACCGGGCCTCGCAAACGCTTGCCACAACACGGCGGGATACGTGAATCGAAATCCTAATGGGAAAATACAACAGAGATAAGCCTCCAGCCTTTAAGGGTGCAGGCGACGTTGCTGTCAAAAAGAAAAAAGTACCTGACCGAAGTCTCTGCACCGCTTGCAGTCGCAGACGAAAAAGTAGCCAGACGTCAACTCCGCTTGGCGACTTTTTGTCGACATTAGGGCATCTACGTATGAGATTCTAATCTTCAAAAAAAACAAGAAAAGTTTTGGCAGTGGGGGAGCTTTGCAGAGTTGGAAAAACAAGTAGAGTTCTTACCTCAGACTGGTCGACAATCCTATCGCACGCAATTATCTTGATTTGCTTTCCTATGAATGCAAAATCCGCATTTGGCATGCAAGAATGGTCCACTTTAGAGGATCTGAACAACAATGTTGAGCAACAGCACAAAGTACCTCCTAAATAGAGCAATACCAATTTCATTACCACACTCATTAGTCAAATGAAAGGCATTAACTTTGACCTGAAGTATTACGTTAAGTTATGAAATCAAAAGTCACAGTACCATTCCAAATAGCCGATAAAAGTTTTCTTTAGAAATATCTATTGTTTTGTTTGAAAACACCATCAGCATTCCATATGCTTGTTCCATCATTAGGTTCGTGCTGGCACAGCCCAAGAGCTCGTCCACATCTATAAAACAAGCTTAATGAAGGGTACGTAATCATACGGGATTCAAGAGAATCAAACATTGGGTCCGTTTTATACAGCTACAGAAATGGAAATTGGGATTTGGGAAGAACACACCTTGGAGGTAATAATATTGAAAAGGAGCCTCAGAGTGGCAACAGGAAAAGCCCCACTGGATACGATGCAGGCACACTCCCGCTTGTGCACTGGCCAGTGAGTTTTTTGACACACTCGGTTGCAGTAGAAAACGTGCCGACACTTGGAGCAACGCGAAAGAGGCTGAGGACTAGCAGGCGTCAGGCATTCAGCACAATAATTTTTGCTGGCATCAACGTGCAAGGCGTAAGCAACAGCATTTTCTGACCAAATTAGGTCCCCGGCGTTAAAGGTCCTACTTGACATTGTTATGCTCATACTGAAAATTGAAAAACAAAAAAGGGGCGTTTGCTGAGTCCGTTCTGAGATCACCAAGGAACATAAGAAGACACAAAACCTAGTGTAGGCTTGTTACTGGAAGTGGGAAATTGAAATTTACAATTCACTTACAAGAAGCAAGAAATTAACTAAATAAATCGATTCGAGGTCTCGAAAGTGCGACTATCAAGGCAGGAAGTTAACTCCAATTCAAGACATTAAAAGCCAAAAGTCAACAAATAGCGTGAAGTCAAACAACTAGGATGGATGGGGAAATTTATGAAACATCCCGAGAATAATTAAATTCCAGAGTTCGGTACCTTAAAAGTAAAATTTGACAGTGTATACAGTTGTTTGTTCCATAAAGTAAGCAATAGAATGTGCAACCTATCAACAATAACAAAACATAAAAGCATTTTACGTCGGAAATTTGTTGAAAATCATGAGTGAGAAAATGCATGCAAAATTCATCGTAAAAGTAATGCCTAACAAAGCGAAACACTTTGGGTGCAGAAGTGCAGCTAGTTCATCACAATAGCTAGTAAGTAACTTATGAATGCATAAACGTAGTTTGCTTTCAAGTGGCAATGTTACATGTAGAAATATTTATACTAATGAATTTCAAGAACATATACCCCAGGTTTCAGCTACACACCGTAAGATCAATAACTTAGCATTTGGTTGGTAGTCTATTACAATTTATCATTGCTGAAGGCCATTCACTTCAATAAACACACACAAATGAGTATTAAAAAAATGCTAATTTGCCTGTATATACATATATTTATAATTTATTTAACTCGCTAAATATTGCAAGTTTAATTTCGATGGTTAAGTCGTTATACAAATGGTAGTCATATTGTACATGAAGCATTTCATTTGCTGCTGAAAGGTAACTTTAATCCTCAAATTTCCGGAATTGAAAACTGCGGTTACAATTTTTACGAGTGGGGAGAATGCAGCCGGATGAATTTTTTAATGGAATTGAAAGAGAGGCTATAAAGACAACTGTGCGAGGCGATTTGTACACTGAATGCTTACAATCCACAGATGCTAGCTTTTCAGAAAAAGACTGAATGAGAAATTAGGCGAGACTTGATAGTTTGTGTTCATAATTCTTTTCAAAAAAATATTAGTGCTGTGGTAGTTTCACCGCCTAATCACGCAATTTTTTAATTGTATGCGCATAAAGCTAGGTTAAACCTAGTTGATTATAACGTGGCGACGTATGAACTTGCTTGGTTTGAAGAAATACAATATAATCATTTGGAAAAATCCTGGCAATTTTCATAATTTTCTTTTTTTTGACGTCAAACAGATTGTTGATTAATGTATTATGTCATATACTATTTTTTGTAACTCCACAGATCATGTGCTTTCTTCCCTGCTCGTGAATTTCAATGACGCTTAATTGCGATAACTGAAACCAGAATAACGTATTTCATTTGATTGGTAGTCGAGGTCTGACATATTGATTGGCATAACACTTTTGCAAAATATTGTTTTCACCTGAATCGGTCTGAGTATTTAGGCTACCTTTATTATCGTCCATGCGTACTAATTCTCATGGATATTGATAGACAGGAGTCATAAAATTTTACAAGATGGCAACTAATTTTGTCTTTGTTACAACAGTACTCGTTTTAAAAGTTGTTTTGAGTTTCTTAAATTAACCATTGTCGATATTGTATAATTGTATCCCTTAAAAAAATTAAACAACATTTGTTAAATAAAAAAACGGATGGTAATGCATTAAGAAATAGCTAAAGAACTTACCGTCTTCTTATTACTAATTGAACATATTAAGCACGTATCTGTTTAATGACAGCGTCAACTGAACCATCCCAAATAATTGATAAATCATGAAATAATTGGTAACTTCGCAAATCAAGAACGCCCTTAACCATGTCACACTTACTCATATTGGTACTTCAGATTCAGGCATTAATTTTTTTACATTGATATTGGCAAATTATCAGTACCTCTGAATTGATGTTTTTCTACTTTTTATTTACTTCAGATGCTGTCCGTCTTCTCGCCCGCTTTCATAATTGTGCAATGACTAATGTTGCATTTTACATCACTTGATTTATACATGTCTATTTAAAATTATATTTTACTTTTAAGCAGATTCTAAGTGAAACTTATTTGCCTAAGATACCCTGGTAATGATATCCAAAAAGGCGTTGTGAAGAATGTTCAGAATTTATTTTTGTGTTTGTAGACTGCACTTCCCTAAGTTGCATTCTATCCATTTGCTCAAAAAAATTAAATGTGTGCATTTCAATTTTATCGAAGAACTAAAAGTCATAACGCTTAAAATCTCTGGACGGTTATGCGTCCGGAAATTTCAATTTTATCGGATTTTTAAGAGCCTCTCTTATACCAAATAATGACCCTACTTTCCGAACGAAGAAATTTGGCTTGGATACCTCCACATTACTCAAACCGACTCACTGAGTGGTTGACAATTCGAAAACATAATCTACATGGCAAACTTGCGGATTACCCTCAGGTAATTTGCCAACCAAAAACAGGAAATGTGCAATTCGTCAATAATCCTCAAACAAAATATTGAATTTCAACAGGGGCTCGATGAAGGAATAGAAAAGCGCCGCTTCCATTAAATGAAGAAAGAGGAAAAAAACACGATACAGAGGCCTCCAAGAATGCAGCTAATTGAAACTGCGTGAAATTAAGTATAGCGTGTTTCTGTAAGTGGCAGAGATATGCGGGTTGGTGTGTAATAAACATGTACATAAACAGAAAGTTATCGATCTTTCTTCTCCTCCTGCTCCTACTCCTCCTCTTCTTCATCCTCTTCATCGTCGGAGTACATGCCTGAAACGACCACGCCCTCTTGATGAGCAGCTGGAACATTCTCGAATACTCCACTCTCCTTTGGCATCTCACTCCAGATATCGATCTGTCAGGTTTACAAAATACTAGAAGTTACTCGCAAACCATTTTTCTGGTAAAACAGCGTCATTATTATCCCCTTAATGGCAAAATGGGCCTGGAAAATTTCTCACGCTACAGGTAAAAGTGGAATTTACGCGATTGACTTGCCATGCCAGGAGTCGACTTCTTGCTGGCCTCCTCCGCTTCCCTCTGCTTCTCCAAAAAGCGTTGTCTAGCACTCGTGGCAAACGCGCCGACAAGATGCTCATCCTCCTCTTGATCGGCCTTTGCGTCTGCGGCTGAATTCGTCGGCTGGCTTTCGTACACCGTTGGCCCTACCGCTCCCTCGACCAACACCACTTTCTAGAACCAGGTTGCAGTATATAAGCGCTACTGTTTTCATACAAGTAGGCGTACTTTTATATTTTTTTACCACTTTTGTTTAATAACCAATGTCATTAGAATTGGCGTGAAACTAGACCCATTAACGTTGCTATGGTTTCATGACATTTACAACAACTGAAATGAAATGTCCGTTCCCAAGTTCCTGCTTTGTATTTGTTTGTTGCGCCCGATTAATTCGGTCTTAGGTGATTTGCACGACACAGGTACATGTGAAGAATTTCGGCCACAGTTGTTTGAAGTAACACGTAAAACTTTCCTACTATTTGTAATCGTCTGAACATACTACTGATAGCACCAGAAGTAACCAACAATCAGCGTAAGAAACTGTCCCAAAATAACTAGAACTGGTCAACACCAGTATCCGTGTGTTCTGTTAATATTACCACATGGAGGGTGTTTCAATGACATTAATTTTCTAATTATTCCATAAAAAAAGCAACAAACCGACGTAGTGGCACACAGAGCTTAGATCGTCTACTAAGCCGATTAAAAATGGCGCTGATTGAGCAAGCCAGATCAGTAAAACAAACCCACCTGACTTCGGACTGCCTTGGACCGCTCCTCGGCGTCCTTCATGAAGCGCTCCTTGGCAGCACTTGCCCACTTCACGTCTCCCGGACTGGGAGCTTCGTCAAGGTCACCTCCTCGAACGACATCATCGCGTTGTTCCGGCTCATTCTCGTACACACCCCCCTCACCGCGAAGTTCTATGGTCTACTAAGGCAAGAGGTAGAGTCTAAGGTAGAGACTACTCATCTAGATGCTACGTCTATCCAATGAAACACCTAGAACCCTGCACTTGCGCTGCCATGTGTCCAGATTCAGCGATCCAAGACAGACATCGAACCTACCGTCTTCTTGACTTCGTGTTGAAGCTTGCTCGGGTCCTGGAACTTCTCGCGGATTGACTTGGCGCCCGAGAGGTTCAAGAAGTCGTCCACGGTGGATCCGGCCGCGACGACGTCCTCGGGACGGGCTGCCGGCGTGCTCTCGAAGACCGTATTTTTCTCCCTGCTTGCTAGCTCCTGTAATTCAGCCTGGTGAAATCAAAATTGTCCATTTAGATCGCAGTGTCTTCGTGACTAGTTAGCAAGTCAGTATTCACCAAGTCAATTGTCGTCGCGAATTTGAGACTTGTAAGAACCCTATTCTCGCTTTTTCTCGTTTCACACAGTCAATTTGGCCACAGTACTTTAATTTCTAGTCTACACCAACAGATCCAATCAGCGTTTACCGGGCCAAGGTCGTTCAATCATTGGTTAAGACATTTACGAGGTCAGATCTTTGTCCTGGCGCTGTGAAGGACGTGGTACTCGGTGTGGGTGTTTTGGTTGTGGCTAAATCGGAACAACGACGACGTGTTTAGACGCAGCACAGACCAGTGTAGAGTAGTTGGATCGTCAAACAGACTATGGCGTATCGATCACCTGCGCACAGCTTTCAAGTCTCTACAGCTGGCCTCCCCGTCTCATCTTCCTTAACAAGACGCCTGATGCTTTGGACAAAGTTGGGAAATAGCGGAATCCCCTAAAATCGATATAGCTCCAACTCAGTTATGAGACGTTTGTAAATCTGCAATCCACATTGTACACGGAGTGTGTAAACCTGTGTTCTTGTCTGACTTAACCAAAATTGACCAGGTTAATTTAAAGCAGTGTGACTTTGGAAACCAAGGGAAACCGCAGTGAGATGGTGGATTTTTCTGGAATCAAGGTGGACATCGCAGCTGAAAGAACCACCAAAACTGGAACCCGAGGTTAACACTTTAACTTCCATCTCTTCTAGAGTCCTCCAATGGATTCTTCTTGGTCCGATTTCATTGGTTGTTGACCGTGACTATTTAAAATGGGCAGTTGTTGCTGTGGTAGCTATTCACCTCAAAAAAACCACTGTAATGCCACCGAGTGGACACCATTTACACTTGAACTTCATACCCAAACGTGGAACAAGTTCGATAATAGGGGAAAACCATACGTTGTTTATCACTTGGTGGTGAATTGACTCCGAAATGGGACGTTTTCAATGAGTTTGTGGTGACTTTCCCAAATTATTGATTTGTAGAGTGAAGTGATTTACTTTTGGATTAAGGTTAATCAAACTACCGACCGCCTTAACTAATCAAACATTTGCCGGGTGAAGCAAACAGGCCGCAATCACCACAAACTGGCACAACTGAGACTCCGATTTGGCCAAATTTGAGCGAATGATTTCAACGAGTTCTGACACGCATACATTGCTTTGTGCACCCTGACAATTTTCCTGCATTTTCAGGCACAACAAGTGACAATGTTTGTCGACAATGCCTTTTTTGTACACTAGCCAAAATTAATGTCTTGACAGATGTAGGTTGGCGCCTACTCTGTAATCATCTTGAGATGGAGGCTCTTGATATCGTTCTAGTAAAGAAACTGATATCTAGACCAAATAGACCGCACTGTCAAATTCATGCAACCGTAACATCTGACGAATCATTTGCTTCCTCCCACCGAGCAAGCTGAGCCAATCAGATTTGTGACGCAAAGCAGGCTTGCGACACCAGCCAATAGGAATGGAGAGTAGCCGACCTGAAAACATCCAATCAATAATCACTAAAAATAATGACTTGGCAACCAACCTTGGGGTCGAGGCGCTTAATTTTGCCCTCCTCGGAGGCCTTTTTGAGGAAGGCGTTTTTCCGCTCGGCCGCACTTGTCGTCACAACCAGGTGGGGGGCGTCCTCCTTCTCCTCCCCCCTCGCGATGCCCAGCAGACTGTCCGGCTCGTTCTCGTAGACACCCCCGTGCGTCTAGAGGTACACACACACACCCAAACACGAGAGTGTAAAAAATCGATAATTCTATTTGGCCAGACCAGCCAGCGTCACGAGGGCTTCAGCGGCAAGCTGGCATTAACACATCGTGGCGTTTCCGGGGCTTATCAGCGTGTTCAAACGAGCGTACTGCAAGACGATTGGTGCCTGCGCCTGCCAGCTATAACCCCGCATTGGTGCCCGCTCAAAACCGACAATACTTATTCAAAGCTGGCTTCAAAGGCGTGCGCGTAGCCATGCCAGGAGTTCGAGTGTGGGGTTTTTTTGGTAAGCCGAGACAGCATGCATGCAGTGGAACTGATTTCCTCTAAACAGATAAGTAACTCAAGGCGCGGGCAGATAGTTGGTGTGCCAAATCGCCACCGTCTGGGTTCTGGAACATCAAGACTGCAGTTAAAATAAATTTGAGGGCTTTTGTCGCTGCAGAGAAGCCATCAAGTGGATCGCTGTATTCCTCCTGTACAAACAGGGCTGTGTACCATGCCAGATTGGAGGAAAGTGCAGCAGGAAGCACAAAAAAATCAACCCACCTTCGACGACACAAGCTTGATCTGGTTGGATAATAGGACACCAATCAGACACAGGGTACCCAGGTTCTTGGGAGATTTCACCAACACTACGGCAGGACCGTCGCAAATTCTGGAATCGAGCCCAGTCAAGTTGGATGTGATCGTGTCAATAAATGATCAGTAAATTACTTTATTAAGTGGCACTTTGATCCCGATACAGAAAGTGAACGGCCTGATGTTATTCCAGGGATTGAGAAACAGTTGTTCATTTCCCTTTTGGCTAAACTACTGACCGAATTATAAAATCGTTATCTGAGAGCTTGACCCAACCCTTAATAACCTTGCAGACTGCTACCAAGTCTTTTTTTTATCAAAAGATGGAACAGCATGACACATTTGGGGACAGGTGAGCTTCCAAAAATTCACTTACGCCACTTCCGAGGTCCACTTTAGTCTTCTCGATCCTTGTCTCCACTTTGCCTGACTCGATATCTTTCCACCTGGCCTTCGCGGATCGCGTTGCCTCCGTAGTGGCCTGTCGGAATTCCTCGGGGTCAATCGTCCTTTTCTCTCCTTCTTCTTCCTCGATCTACGAAAAAGGCATCAAACGTGGTAGCGTTGGATTGTTTCTGCCCCATTTCCTTTCTCTCTACCACTCAGATTGTGATGAGTGGTTTCAAACTTAAATCTACCGCTCTTACTGACCAATCAGATCAAGCACCGCCAGTTGGCCCACTGCCATTTGTCGTACAAACTAAGTTTGGTCCCACCATAACATAATTCTGTGTAATTTAAAAAGCATTTGTCAAATTTGATAATTGCATGGTACAGATACCGGAATTGTTAATTAAGTACTTGCTTGTTTTAGTTGTGTGGTTGTGACACTTGTTTACAGCGGGTTCTTTAAGGTCCGGATAGAAAATAAACTAGGATACACACTAAAAACCTTTTATCCCTAAGTTATCCCGTTTCCCTATTGTAAAATTGTTTAAATCAGACGATTTGACTTACAACACCTCCAGTTTTTTCGAGTTGCCTGAAACGTTCTCGGACGTCCTTGGTCTTCTTTCCAATGCCGATGTAATCAGTTACCGTGGCATCGCCGGTAGTCGGTCCCTCAACACCCTCCGGTCTGGCTTGAGGTTGACTTTCGAGGACCCCCACGGCGACACCCTCTCTCGGCGGGGTGATCTCCTTCAACTTCGTCGGATCTTTCGATCCATTCACCTGTTTGTTGGCCTCCTGCAAGAGCTTGTCCTTCATGCTGCCCACTCCTGCGTACTTGAGCTTGGTTTTGCGCTTCTTGGTCTCCTTCGACTTCTCCTGGTCAAAGCTTTCGCCCTTTTCGAAGCGATTTCGGATGTCGGACGCACGGAAGCCCGTGGCACCGGCCACTGACGCGGCGTCAGCCACATTCTGACTCACTTTGGTGACTTCTTTGGCCGCTTTCAGGGCCTCTGATTCCTTGCGACCCTCCTTCTTCTCGTCGATATTATTTTCTGGAGAAAAAAACACTGACCGTTATCAGGGTGGCAATCGAACTCGTGCTGGCTCATTTTACTAACGGTTTTCGCTCGCCTCACTCACTGGCAGGAAGTAGCTGATTGGTTTGAAGTCAAGGTTGCATGCACAAAATAGCGCGGACTAATTGCCTCGACCAATAGCATCGCTAATCGACCGATATCGGACCAATGAGAAAGTAGCTTAGTGTGATATTTAGCAAACGTGCTGTTTGTATGCATTTTCTTTTTAATGTTTGATGGAAGCAAATTGTGCACAATTTGTTCTGTAGTTGTTACTTTTAACACAAAATACAAAAGCAGACATTGTCGCTTTCTGTTCCCATAAATTGTTGGACGCACAAATTGGTAGGCGACTTTCGTGGTTTTGATTGCTGAGCTACGCTCACGATGTCAGAACTCATTGAAAACATTCTGACCTGGAGAAATTTGGCTCAAATTTGAAGTCTCTGATGACCAAATCAGCAACCGAATTGCATCAGAAATTGTAGTGGAATGACAGCATGACAGATTGCGAAGGGGTTACATGTATCCCACGCGGCCTGATTGAGTGATCCAGGAAATATCTTGCTAGTTCAAAAGGTCGGTTCAGCCCAAATCGAATGTAAATCACTTCCCTCAACAAATCAATACTTGGGACATTCATCATAACCGTTTTTGGGTAGCGAACTATTTCCAGTGGAACAATTCAGACCCTAGGTGCCAGGGGCTTGTGAAAATTGGCTGCGGAGTTATCCGAGTTCGCCATTTTGAAATCTGTATTACTAAACTGACTGAGAAACGCATGTAACTTTACGAACCTGCTAAAGGTTACGCATTTGTTACGCTTCCTGGTGAAGTTTGTAAGAATCACACAACCGCTCGGGACATAAGAATTCAACAAGGCCGCACTGATTTCCCCGGTTTGATATTCATATTCTATTCTGATTCTGAAGGCAATCATGAATAGCGCGAGCGGCATTATGGGAACGCCAAATTTCTTTGGCACTGATTGGTTCATCGGCACCCAATCGTATTCCAAATATCTCTGCCACACAAATCCTGCCAAACGCTCAAGGCGGTTGGCAACTGTTTGAAACGCTCTCACCACGTGACTTGCCTCCGATTCCGCTTAACACTCTGAAAATACGATTTGGTCGTTTACTGAAGGACCAAAGCATCGTGGTTACTAGTTCCTACATTCAATCTAGTTTCGATTTTTATTGATTTATTTTCAATCACTTCATACAATAAGAAAAATTATTGGCTAGATTATATGATTTCGCGGTTGGCAGAAGTGATTGACGTGATTTCACACATCTGCTAATTCATACACGAATTACTCTACCCAAATATACACTATAGAGTAAGGCCTTTGTTACTGGCCAATCGATGGTCGCCAAATAGCTATGGAAATGACGTGGGTATAAGCGTGTGATAGGGGTTTTGATCGGGGGGAGTAAGAAAGGCATTTGTACTTTAACAGTGCATTGAAACCAATTAAAATTGCATTCTAAATTATATCTCAGCAGGGAGTAACATAACGATGAAGTGAATTAATGATAGATGTAAACGAAAATCAACGACGCTTAGAGGTTAGAATTTGTGTGAAACTAAGTTGGAAAAGTAATCAATAATATCGATCTGATCTTGGATCCCCGTTGTAAAAGTCTGGAACTAATCGCACGAGGTTCAGTGAAAATTGCGTGCCTAGATGACCTTGAAACCACAAAGAGCAGGGTTTGTCCTCTCAAATCTTGGATTTTGTTGACCACCGTGTAGAGAACCCCACAACTATTTAAACACGTGAAAACTTTACTTTTATGACCTCTCAGTGTGCTGCCAACCCCAATTGGATAAGCTGGTGTCCAATCCAAGAATTGATTGGCCCACCACTACTGTTGCAAGGAAACTTCTAGCCATGACGGATATGGCAAGTCTGTAATTACCGATGATTTCTAGCGCGGCTAGTTGACCTCTAACGCCCTCGTCCAGTTTGCTGATTCGGTATGATAACTTGGGAAGGCTAGACGAGTTATGTGCACGCTTTAGGTCAGCATAGAAGCACGATGAAATTCGTGAGTGTACTATGCTAGCGTTTCTGAAGTTCGATTATTTGATTTCTGCTCCAAGTTTATTGATTTTTAACTCGAAAACCTGACAACAAAACATTAAGACACCTTGCTGTCTGGGGCATTTTGATTGGGCAAAAAAGACCTTGAAAATTAGGAAACAGATTGGGCATTCAAACAGCTGCATTTTTAAACACCTCATTAAAACGATATCAATAGTATCGGTTTTGTCGCTTGAAGCACAATCCAATTCAGGCAGCGTCGCCAAAGGAAACAGACTTACCGGTTTTCGCGGAAGCTGATTCTTTTCCTGAAAAAAAATGTGTTTTTGCTTGAGATATTAAAATTCTGAATTTGGCGTCAAAACAAACAGACAAGGCATAGCGCGACGAAGGAAGCGTTCTAAAGGCATGGGAAGGGGAAGGTGGACATGCGCATGACCAGGGGGAATTGTCCATTAAGCACACAAAGGGGGTTCAGTTGCTATGGCGACTAAGGAGTTCCTGCGTGGGTCATGCACCTCCATGAATTCAACCAGAAGGTGGCTTCAACTCCGCTAAAATAAGACGAAGTTTATTTTTGGTTGAATGCAAAACTTTCAGGCATTGTGACAGAGGTAAGCGTGAAATAACTAAACTTACGAAAGCTGGCAGTCACAGACAGTACACCGGAAGCAGGATATGTGGAATGCGTCGGTTAGAAGTTCCAGGATGTCATCGGTGTTCATGTCTAGCCCGCATCTCTTACAGATTGTTTGTGCCTTCAAACATGAAAGAGAGATTTAGTAGAACGCCTGAGTCCATATAAAGATGCGTTGATAATCTGAAAACAATTGGCATAATGACCCCAAATCCAGGGTGATCGAGGATCCTGTGATGACGCATATCCACGTAATTAGCCAATCATGGACGCCTTGCCCATCACTCAATTCCTATTGGTTAGAACCACAAAAGGACGTTGCCTCCATTTTTTGCGCCTATAATTAACGCACTTTATTTGAGCGGTCATACAATACTTTTGGACTACTACTGTCTTTATCTTTCCCGTTCCATCACCACTGGAACCACGTTATCGACGAGGTTTGAATACTGTACAGCTGACAAAACAAAACCAGTTTATCTACCTGTCCCGGTTTACACCCAACAGTGGTGACGCACATTAATCAGGCGGGTACACACCTCGGCCACTTCAGCTATTTACACGCACTTGTCGAATTCGGTAAAGCGCTTGCATTCGATTGGTTATTCACTCTTTGTTGTGCTGCTGCTGTCCTTGTGAAACCCCGATTTACTCAGAATAGGTCTTTTCACCCGAAACTAATATTTATCGTCAAGCTAAGTGCAATTGACACGGCGTAATCTTAAAGTATTACTGGGGATATATTTGATTTCATTTAAAAATTAGTACAAAGAAACACGTACTAGGTTAGGCGGGTTCGGATTGGACGCCCACGCAGGTCTCAAAATGACTACTGAGGGGTCACTTGCTCCCCCGGATTTTGGACGAAAATCACGGAGGCGGGTGATTCCTAACACGGGAGAAAGCATCATGCGGGAGGCATGCAAAAAAAACGCCCCAAAAACGCCCCAAAAACGCCCCAAAAACGCCACGTGGAGCGGGTTCATGCAAGAACAAAAACGCAAGCGGATGACCTAAGCAGACTGACGTGTTGGCATGATCATCAAGCACATCAACACCTGTTAATGTTAATCGATCGCAGTTGCATTCCGCAAGCTAACTGCATTCCTTCAGTCAGGCAACAGCCAGTAATGATTGGCTGTCAGAGTAACCAATCGGAATGCGAGCCACGTGACGGCTTTTAAGGCTGGTTAAAACGCCAAGTTGGCAGTGGGAATACTGGATTTTCCAAATAGCCAATTACAAAGGTTTTTTATTATTCAAAGCTGTTTGCATTAATTAATTAAAAAACGCGATATCACGCGAAATGGGGATTTACAAGACCCCAGTTATCAATCATGGTGTAAATTGTTGGACTTGAATTTCGAAGTAAAAGAACGGTCCATGTGTGGTCAGTCTTTCAGGGTTTAATTGACATTTCAATTAAGCGACATCAGACTTTTAAACTACACTTAGTTGACCCCCATTTGTAGTGTTTAAATATTGTAAAACCCTTATGGTCAGTTGATTAGTTAGTTAGCCAAGGCACAGGGTCAACGGAGCGTGCGGTGAGGTCAAGGTCATGGGAGGTGGGAGCTAGGGCCTCAAGAAACCGTACCTGCCGTCGTGGTTGCTGATTTTGTATTCTAAAATTAAAAGAAACACATATTTACGACTGAAAGATTCACACCATGCCTGATGGTGGCAACAGACAGTCATTTGCAAACACACACACACACACACAACATGTAATTGGTTTTACGGTAGTCAGGATGAAGAGGATTTCACGGCGTCGCGCCAACTAGAATGAAGGGCACAATAGGTGAGCGTTTAGTCGATTTAAACAAAACGCGTTAGCATGACGACAAGATGGCCACGCGCAGTAACAAATCAGTCATGCATCTAGCCACAAACGTCATTTTCCGACAAGATACGAAGGATAGGCTGTCACAACAACACAAAAAATACAATACTTTTTTCAGGTGGAGACTTAATGAATTGTACTGGGTAAATTCACCGGTGGAATCCTCTCCAGGCGACTGCACTTGCGGCAATCATTGCTAGAATGTCAGGTCTGCAGTGTAGGGGGCCGTCGAATCGTGGAATGCCATAAACTTCGCGCACCCCAAAATTGTTTGCGTATGAACAGGCAGTTCAAAGCATCACCCACGAAATCTCATCCAGGTAACTAGTTCATGCAAGACAAACTAGGAACAGGCGTTTCAGCGAACCACAACAACAGAGTTTGGGTTGAGTGAACACTCCAGCAGGTTCGGCATAAGGAATGGCGTCATCCGTGGCATTTCTGTGGATGGTATTATTACAGAAAGTAATCGATAACTGATTAACTACTCCAAACTTCTCATTGGCTACGGGGGCAAGCACGGTATGGGGACTTAGCACAACAGAATTACTAACGACAATGATGATGACGATAATGATTGCATCAGTTACGCGGTCAGACGAAGCAAGACGTGGACGTCGCACTAGCTGGAAGACAAAAGATACTGCTAGTTTGGGGGAGCCACGGCCAGTTAACCCAGGACCGATCGCTTAAATGCAATCAATAAACGGAACTGCAAGAGGTGAAAACGAATACTTTGAGTCACTTGTGGTTTATGATAAGTGTTCTGCTAAAATTTACGAACCCACTTAAAGATATTAAAATCGAAATGGGCCTTAGTGAGTTGGGTGAGTTCGCCCAATGGGAGTTAGTTCGACATTGCTGAAGGTGATAAAAATAGACGGTTGGAGACAGGTAACAGCAGAACGAGGTCAAGTTACGTTATGTTCTTTAAGGGGATTTTGAACAAGATTACCATGGATTTTGACAAAGTTATGAATTGGAAACACCACGCTCAGTATTCCCGAATTGCCGTGTTTCAAAGCAGTTTTTAAATATTAAATTGCATAAGGCGATGGTTGTTTGTTTGGTTGATTCAAGTCCAATAACCCGGTCGTCGCAGCCTCACACACACGCACACGTCCCTCCCCCTTCACGGCATGCCCATCTGTCACGCTGGCCCGCCTGCTCATTCACCCCCACCCACTTTATCCGTCTGGCCATTCAGACGTTTGTACTTTTACTAGTTCCCTCAACTGCATCAGTCAACAAAAACACATGAGTCATGCTCTACCTTTACCACGCGCACACGGCACAACACAAGTAAGTTGAGTTGTCAGGCAAACGGTCGTGCCTGGCCCTTCCCGGTCTTATTTCGTTTTGGGTACTTGGAGTCGCATTGGGGCTGCAACAGTAGAGACTGAAATTCCTTTCTGTTCGTGTGTTAGATCCACACGCGTTCGACTACTCAAGCAACGTGTTCCCAGGAGTTTTCAAGTGCCCTTTTACACGGTAAAAGGTTCAGTCTTTATCAACCAAATTGTATCCTGAATCAGGGGGAATGCTGTGCCAATCGATGAGTCACTGTGTAATACGTCCAGGTGGCTTCTCTCACCCCTCCTCCCATGTATTCCGTGACGATGCCAAAACGTTACTTTCGGGGCTTCGTGCGTGCTTGGTAGATAATAAAACAAATCAGTGAACAGCCTGAAAACGGTTATCCCAAAATTTGCATAATATGGAAAACCGGATTCATCAATTCTTCTAATCGATTAGATATATCGATTAAACACTGACCTTCACATGATGAGAAATCCGGGGTTGTCAACTACACACCTAACCGATTTTCGTTCCATCATAGGAGAACTTTATTGCATGCACTTTACCGAATGTCCTTCAGACTCGGGTTGTGAATTTGCCCGCCAACTAACGCGTGATCGACATCAGCAAGAAGGACGCAACTGCTGTGTCCTTGGCAGGAGCTAGAAAGCGTGGATCGAGCGAAAATACACACAAGCTGGTCACGCATCAACGCACACACACATCCATACGTACCCTAGGCTCCCCGGAATGGCAAATCCTTTTACCTGTCTACAACTGTCAGAATCTGACGGATGTCTGTTTAGGTATCTCTTAACGCCTTTTGGATGACAGCTGATTGGTTTGCACACACCCGAATGAGTCGTCCCGTTTCGGTTTGACTGGGAACATTCGTTCTCGGGTACCTGTGGATCGACGAATGGAACCGAAGTGACCGACAGTCGCCTCGGCTCGGATTGCGCTCGACGTCGTTTTTCGTGGGCGAGGCTACCCAACCTTGGTCGCATTTTAGGTGATCGATAGGTCTTCCTCGTGGATAGTTCAGCTTCCGCGGGCGAAAGACGCGTACACCTCTGATTGGCTGGTTCAATGGCCGCGCGGTTCGAGCTTGCACAGGGATTGTGAGCCGATATCCCGAAATATGTTGTAGGAAGCAACACCACTTCAGGCAGATTTCGGTAGACGCTTTCCCTTCTGCCTTCGGGGCACTCCTGGGAAAGAGTCCGTTCGACCGAAGGCTCAAGTGTGGATGTGGTGGCGTCAAGCGTACCTCCATGTTCCAGTGAATGGGCACGACATTTCCAAACCGGAAAATTCACTGGGTCACTCACTGACAAAGTTGGCCTTTCGCAGTGGAGATACCTTTCTGGACGCTGTAGAAGGTGTTGAGGACCAGTCACCATCATTCTGGATCTCGGCTTCTTCCTGGGCTTGCACGACACTTCGTTTTCCTCTCCCATCATACCGTTTTACCTGCTCACTCCTTTGCCCTAAGAATACCGCTAAGTAGCTGCTTGGATACCAAGCAGACATGTACTAAATGCCTCAAACAGTTGAACCAATGAGCGTGTCTGTTGTTGTGTGATCGTGCGTGTCGTAGCCTATTTACACGCAAGGCTGCCTGGGAAATTTTGAAAGTCTTTCAACACGTGGTTAGAATTTTTACGGTTTCAAATGCTCAAATGCATTTCCACATTTCCACACGTAAATGCCTCCCCAAAAATTTTTCGATAAATCGATATTGATTGACGCTCAGACACATTACAATTGCCTGGTAACCGGGGCCAGCGACGGTGTACGTCCGATTGCTTTGAAACAGCTGGCGTGTTTGGTTACCGGTCCCCTTCACAAATCGAAGTACACAACCCGTAAATTACCATGTGCTATATTTGGACAATCCCAAACTTGCAAAGGTTAGGATTTTCGCACCTAAAAATCACACTGACCACAAAAACTTCCATCTTGTCATGTAGACCCAAATGGTGCGTCTTAAGGCTTGTAAATTTTGAAAATTTTGGCCTAAAAATCAGAAAAGAGTACCCCTGAATGTTACACGGTTCACTTGAGCCCCAGAAAGTTTGTTCAGCCAATGATAAATGGTGTTGGGAAGACCAAGGAAGTAGTTACCACTGCTCCCGCTAGGTGCAAACTGCAGCGCCCACAACAAGGTTATCAGCCCTATCCACAAAAACAGACACGAAAGCACGCAAAATATGTGTCCATCATAGTTTTTGCGCAAAACAAACACCCCACACACAAGCTACAGTGACGTCCAATCAGAATACAGCTTGAACATCCACGTGGTTGTGACCAATCAGTGTGCACGAGTCGGACGATCGATGATCAGGAGAGAGGAGCCGCAATTACTGAATCTTCAGTGCCATGGCGATGAAACCGGGATTTGGAAAACACAAAGAGGCTCTCCGGGTAAAAAAGGAATAGCCAATATATGGGCGAATAGGACCAATAAACTCACTAAAGCCTAACACTTCTGCACCCCAAACCTACGAATAGCATGCCAACTTCCACATTTATCGATTCGATATCAGCTGACTTGAGCGTCAATCAAGTGTGTCGCACTCTGGAAAAACCGCCATGAAATCGATGGAGAGCTGAAAACCAGGCCATCACGAAATTAGCAAATTCTGAAGAGAACCCCGCAACACAAAAACTCTGATTTTTCAGAAAATAAGTTTAGTTTAATTCTGATTCAAAAATTGTGAAAAGAGGAGTGGTTTGAGGAAAAAGTGCAAATCATGAGAGAATTTACGCACTGAGTTTTGTGCAAATGCTGCAAAAACGAATTCTGTTCTCGATGCTTTCGTGATCAAGAGCATCACGAATATCGATTTCTTGTCACTCGTGAAAATGGTTTCACAAATTGAACATGTCGGCGTACAAATGCTCTCTACCAAAATCGATATTGGTCGTGGATTTCATCCAATCAGAAGACGCGGAACTTCGTCTTCACACAAAATCTGATCAAATAAGATTTCATTGAGAATTTACCATAAAGTGCTTTTTGCTTTTATTCTGATAGCATTTTATTCACGCCTCAATACGGTGGGCAAACACAACTAAAGTTCAATCGTAACGTTTTAAAAAAGCGCGCTTTTTGGCAGTTGTCAAATTTGAACAAAGTTGACCTTTACTGCCAACTACGCGGTGGAGAATATAAGTTAGAAATGGAGTATGGCACAATTATTTTTCAATTAAGAGATCAAACGAAATGCATGGGAGAACTCCGATAGCGAAAAGCACTTTACATTGTGAAACTGTCACAGCGTTAACACTTTTTACAACCAATAGTTGAAATGAATCATGGTGACTTACGCCATCTATCGTGGTGCCTCCGTGTCTCCCAGTTTTACCTCCGATTTCCGACATTACCTCGGTCTCGCCTACTTCCACCGTGGGCTTGTGCGCTATGGCATGAAAGCAGAGGTATTTGCCAGTGTGTGTGTGTGTGCATGAGTGCACGCGCGTTCACGCACCTGAGGGTGTCTGTGCGGCCAAACACCGGGGTTAACCAGCACTTCTTCACCTCGTCAATAATCCCCACCTCCTCCCCATCCCCCTGTATGCGCGCATCCGACCAATCAGCGGGCTCTGTTTTGGTGCTGAACGCGCACTGCACCGCTTACTGTTTACGCACTCCCCTCTTCTCGTTTCTGCCGTTTTGACCGCCGTGAACCGCTTTTCTAAAAGCCTATCATTTCGTGGCTACTGAAATAACACCAGTAGAGTTATTTTAACGTAATCATAAACCAAAGAGAGACCGAGACATCGTTAGCACTTTTCGTAATGTCCTGAAATTATTCTATTCGGAAAAAGGAAAAATCTAGCTGTGTTGGGGAATGCAGATCTCTCGTTTCTTCAGATGTCAATTAACAACCACGAAGCATATTCAAACTATACAAAAAACAAAGTCTAAATCTTTCTGTGTCTGCAAACAGACAGTTTGGTGAAACAGATAATTAAAGAAGATTTAAATTAAATATATCGTTACAGATTAGCTGGGTTTTATGTAACCAGATTACGATCGATAAATTAATGGAGTTTAATGAAGAACGGAAAATTATCGATTTTTTAGCTACACGTGGATGCATCGATCACTGTGCGCAGACGTAGTACAGAAAATGGCAATTTTTGTGACAACTAGACCGGAGGTCGACCTTGATTTCACACGCAGTGTTTTATAGCCTGTTGCGAAAAGTGCATGCGGCGTAGACTACAACTACACCATGGCCTTAAACACGTGTACACACAGTTTCCTTTTCGCGCGTAGAATTTTTCCACCGCAAGATTACATTCTTGTTTGGTGTTGAAGCAACTGCAAGCGCAGATTTTTCTGCCATCTTTGCGGTGAAAACGTTAGGAAGCGCGATAACCCATTACATCACGAAATTCAGAGATAGGAGTTATCGTCCTCTTTTAAGAAGCGACAAACAACCTTTGGGGAACGTTTATAACAGTAAATTAAAAAAAATTATTAACGAGTTTGCAAAGCTTTGAACCCAGTCTTTCGTCCTTGATCGTGACAATTTTGTTTTACTCGGATTGTCAAGGTCAAACTGAAGTCGTTATGGTGACAACAAACAACCAGGCCTCGTGCCTAGAATTTTCAGTCTTAACTCATCCGACGGAACAGTGAAACAAGGTTGTAGAGCCAGTCCAATGATTGTAATTTTTTAGTCGGCAAAGGTTTTGTCAAACCCGCATCTGTAGGTCAATCACGAAGTGACTCTGTAGATATCATGCAAATTTAAAACATTCCTGCAAAATGATAAATTCCACAGAGTTCAATCGTCTGTTTTGTTTTAAGTAGACTTCAAGGTCACCCCAAAGCCAGAAACTGTAAAACTTTTTGTGCCTAACGAAAGCACCAATAACATTACTAGTTACCAACACACCAATGTGCAAGTTAATATGTACTGTTTATAAAGCCATTTTAAGTGTGCAATTGGTTCCCATTTAGACCGCCAAGTGCCCAAATATCGATTAACCGTTCACCCATACTTTGAGATCTTGCATTCATTCTGTACATGAGTAGTCCATCAATAACCAGGACACCGAGGTTCGTGATTAAGTTCAAATGTAGGTTGGCGAATGGAGCAACGCTGCCACACTCTGAGGAGATGGTTAAGTGAACCACGCTAATTTCTGACTTCCCCCAAACCAATTCTAGTTGCCCCAGTTACTTTGGGCCTCATGTTTGTAATGCTTAATCAGTAGTCAAGACATTCCACGAAAATCTACTGATAACCCGCTACCTTGGTTGAAACACAGCTAAATAACTAGAGTCACAAAACCTTGACGATCACTGGATCACTCAGAGGTCAACCGGAGGTAGAGTCGACATTTCAGAAAAATGAAATCCGTGTATCAACATCACATCTTGGTGAAACATTGCTACTGTCCGTGGTGGTAACTTCCAAGTGACTTCTGGTTTCGGCGTCGAGTGATCCGCTTTTAACAACCGTAAGTTAAGTGTAAAGTAGCCTACTCTGTCGACATGGACAAAAAATCAGCTGATCGTCTTGAGGCTAGACTGATGTTGCCCAAGTTTAATCCAGCTAATGTGCTTCCATGAGGCTGTTCAACTGATCTTTGTGGAGCTATGCAGTGAGTTCACCAGTGGTGCCAGAATCGATAACCATGTTGTGGGCCCCAGTATGGAGTCTTAAACCAAGCCGGGGCCACTGGATTAACCATGGTCAAATTACGCTTCTCTGATACTCGCGATAATGAATGAGACCGGAGAGGACGTGGACACAACCGTGTACTTCAGAGCTCAACCACGTTGGTGTCGTTGTGTCGTGTGTATTTATACCTCAGCTGTGTGTCATATATGCGCTAACATTGAGATCTAAATGTGAGGATAATCCAAGGTAAATATTCGTGCAAATAACTTCAAGTTTTTTTGTAAATAACGATTTGTATTGGCTTGCATTGGTGTCCTTCGCTGCGGTACATCTGATAGTCAAGTTAAATGCGGCCTTTGCGTTCAACTGATAGTGGGAACGCTCAACCAGACGACGAAATGCCTGGGATACGCTGCAGCACAAAAATGTCCGCGCCTTGGAAGTCGACAAGGATACCGGGATGAGTACCGCTAGGGGAACTGACGGAACCAGAAACAGCGAATTTTGTCACTCAAGATTCGGTAACAACTCCAGTCTTACCGTCTCCCTGTGTTGGCACTTAGCATCGTGTTTGATCCCCTTTGCGGACGTCTTATGAATTTTGAGTCAGACGAAGCCCCTATTTCAAAATTTTCAGCTAACTAGTTCTACCATCGATTATTTATGTAAAGTATGTAATCTGTTGATCGGGATGGAGGGGTAATTGGCATTTTAAAAAAATCTACGTTAAAATATACCCTTGATTTTATACTAGAACAATATTAATACGTAGCTAATGAATAAAAATCGATAGTGACTTTCGCAGGTTGCAGGAC